CGTCGTGGCTCCTCGCTCCTCCTCCCTCTCTCCCCTCCTCACGTGTGGCTTCGAAGCGCAGGTTCCCAACCCCATATCTTTACAGAAGGACCAGGTCTGCGTTCGGAAATGCCACTAACTCGAGACATGCCCCGTGTATCCCTTCGAATTGCGATCGAAAGTTGCTATCCATAGTTTCTATAGGGTCGGTGTCGGCATCCCTTCGCGTTTCGGGGTTCTGGTACCGATAACGCCCAAAGAAATGTTGAAGAATTCATGGGTTCCGCGAGCAGTTGCAGGGGCACATAGAAACAGCATTGGGCCCTCGTACGAGACCGTGGAGCAGCGGCAGCAAGATCAAGCGCACAGCCTACAGCAGCGAGTTTGAACCAGCAGGCAAAGCCGCCGGAAGCAGCAGAGAGAGGGGTTGAGCATGGCGCGCGGGTGCGCGGACGCAGGGCATCCAGGTCATTGAGGCGGTTATCCTTCGTCGTGTCGGTGCTGGAGGGGAGGTAGCACAGGCGCCACGCGCGAGGGGGGACGGGGGAGGAGAGGAAGGCGTGAAGGAAGGAGCAAGGCCGAGCCCGGCGACCAGTCTGCCGTGGATGTAATCCACGGGTGCGCACTAGTCAGCTACAGCGCTGTGACCAGCGCGTGCGGGAAGGGCATGCAGTGGCGTCGGGCTCTGGCGCTGCACAGCGAGATGTTGCAGGCGAAGCTGGATTCTCACGTCGTCAGCTGCAACGCTGTGATCAGCGCGTGCGAGAAGGGCGAGCAGTGGCAGTGGGCCCTGGCGCTGCTCAGCGAGATGTGGGAAGCGAAGCTCGAGCCAGACGTCATCTCTACTATATTTCAGGAGCACGTGCGTGCGGGAAGGGTCGGGAAGAGCCTGGGGGCTCTGGGCGCCCCGGCGGCCCCAGGACGGCTCCGAGAAGCTCCGGAGGCCGCCCCGACGGCCCAAAGACGGCTCCGAGCCGCTCAAGATGCCCCGAGGGCGGCCCAAGAGGGCCCCGAGACGCGCAATGATCCGGCCAAGACGCCCAAGATTGGCCCAAGACGGCCCAAGAGCTCCCCAAGACGGCCCAATAGGCCTCCCAAGAGGCCTCCCAAGAGAGCCCCGAGAGGCCAAATCGTTGATTTTCATTGGTTTTCCCGAGGTGTTTTGCTTCCTCGCTTTTTCGGCTTCCCGACGCTCCGAACCCTCCCAGAGGCATCCAAGACCGCTCCAAGACGGTCGAAGAGGTCCCCAAGAGGACTCCGAGACGGTCCAAGAGAGGGCCCCAAGACGGTCCAAGGCGGCCCCAGGACGGCCCCAGAGGCGCCCAAGACAGGCCAACGGGACCCCAAGATGGCCCGAAGAGCGGCCCAAGACGGCTCCAAGACGGCCCTATGACCGCCCAAGAAGGCCCCAGGGGGCCCCAAGACAGCCCAAGGGGCGCGATAGACGGGCCCAGAGAGGCCCAAGAGGCCCCCAGGAGCCCAAAAGAGGTCCCTAGAGATCCCACGGGGCTTCAAAACTGCCTCGAAGCGAGGGGGGCGGACGAGAGGACCGCCCAGAAGAAGCGCCAAACTCGCCCCCAAAACGGCCCGAAACGGTTCCAAGACGGCCCCAGAACTGCCCAAGAGGCTTCCAAGAGCGCCCCAAGACAGCCCAAGAGGGCCCCAAGACGACCCAAGAGACGCTCAAGACGGCCCACGAGGGCCCGAAGACAGGCCCAAGAGGGGGCCAAGAGGGGGACCACGGACCGAAAATCCGAACCTTCCGCCCCGAGAGGGCGCCAGGAGGCCCAAACAGGCCCCCAAGAGGCCCCAAGGGGCCTCCAAGAATCCCCCGAAGAGGCCCCAGGAGGCTCCCAAGGGGCCCAAACGAGGCCCCAACAGAGGCCCCAACAGCTTCCAAAATGGCCCCAAAGAGGCCTCGAGCCCGCCTCCGAGCTTCCTCGCCGCGAGGGTGCCAACACGGCCCCAGACGGGCCCAGGACGGCTCAAGGCGCGCTCAAGACGTCCAAGACGGTCCCAGGAGGGTGGGCCCAGGACGGCCCAAGGACGCGCCCGGTCGGGGCCTCAAGACGGGCCAAGATGGCAAGAGAGCCCCAGCTGGCAAAAATCGTTAATTTTCCATTGTTTACTGCTACACCCTTTGCGTATCCCGCCATTTCGGCGGTCCGATGCACCAAGAGGCCCCAGAAAGTCCCAGGAGGGTCCGAGGAAACGCCCAGGAAGGCCCCAAGACGGGCCAAGACGGACCCAGTACAACCCAAGGCGCGCTTCGACGGCTCAAGACGGCTCCAAGACAGCCCCAAGAGGGTGCCAACACGGCCCCTGCTGGGCCCAGGACGGCCCAAGGAGGCGCACAGGAGGAGCCCAAGACGACTCCAAGGCGGCCCCCTCACGGTCCCAGACGGCTCCAAGACAGCCCCACGATAGTGCCAACAAGGACCCCGATGGGCCCAGGACGGCTTACGGACGCGCCCATGAGGGGCCCACGACGAACCAAGACGGCCCCATCACGGCAAACGGCGCCCTCAAGACGAGCCTAGACGGCTCCAAGACGGCCCTTTGAGGGAGCCAACGCGGCCCCACACCCTTCGGGCGAACACTTGGGGTGGCTGGGAGCTTGCGACAAGTCTCCACACATTCATTGTCCTGCCCCATTCTGTTCGCCTGGAGGCCTCCTCCAACCCTGTGGGCGAACAAGAGGAAACCCAGCGGGCCGCCAATCCTGGGGCCCGTGGGCCCCGCGCCGCTTGGGCAGAAGACGAACGCCGGGTCTGACAGGCCAGCTACCGCCCCCCTTTGCCCGATATGCTGTGCCATTATGTTCCCCCCGGGGCCTTGGCAAGCTCTTCGGGCCAACCAGACCGGACCCCTGGGACAGAAGCCAATTGATATGACCCAAGGACCTCTCCGCATTCTTCGGACGAGCACCTGGGGGCCCAGGAGATTCGGACAAGTCTTCCCCATTCCTTGCCCTGTCCCGTTCTGTTCGCCCGAAGGCCTCCACAGACCCTGTGGGCGAACAGAATGGGACATGGCGAAGCGACTGGATCGCACCATCAAGGCGTGCCCGGAGGTGATGGCCGCCGACCCAACAGCGGTTTTCCAAAGATGTTACAGAATTTCAAATTTTCGTGAAGCTCTCTTGGGCCCTCCCTGTAGATCCTTGCGAGCCTCCCCGGCGCTTTCGGTGGCTTTCCCCGATGGCCTCCCGAGCCCTTCCCCAGGCGCTCTTGAGACGCCTCAGATGGGCTTCGACTTCGACGCACATCCCTCGAACCTGCCCTCAATAGGAGGGGGGTGAACGAGCAGTGCGCTGGGCCAAGCTGCTGGAGCGCTGCAAGAGCTCGGACACGAAGGCGCGGTCTCGCTGCCGCCGCCCGAGCCGCCGCCGTGTTTGTAGATTTTCGGCAAAATCTCCGCCGGTTCCTCGGAGAACCATTCCAGAAGTATGTCGTGGACGGAGTCCACGGGTCAGCGGCAGCCGGCGCTGGCGTTGCTGAGCGAGATGCGGGAGGCAAAGTTGGTGCCCGACGTCATCTCTTCTACGATGCAGCGCCTCCTGCGTGCCAGAAGGGCCCGAGGCAAAACGGGGGCTTCCGGGGCTTTGGCAGGCCCGGGCCAAACGAAGAGGGCCGGGCGTTGCAGGACGGCCCAGGAGGGCCCCAAGACGGTCCAAGATGGTCTGGGACGCCTCCAGGCGTTTGAGAGGTCGCCAATATGGCTTGCAGACGGCCCAGCGGGGCCCCAAGATGGCTCAAGAGGGCTCCGCAAGGGTCCCCACGTTCTCGCCTTTTCGCGTGTCCGACGCTCCAAGACGGCCCGAGATTGCCCCAACATCGCCTCAAGGCAGAAGGCCACCAGGCCACCACCAGGGCCCCAGGACAGCCCAAGACGGCCACAAGACGGCCGAGGAGGCCCCCACCGGCCCATGACAGCTCCAAGATGAACGCCAGAGAGCCCCAAGGGGGGGAGCTCGAACTGACATTTCGCACCCTCCGCCCCAAGAAGATGACCCCCGAGACCGCCAGCGGGCCCCCAAGAGGACCCCCAGAGGTCCCAGGAGGCCTCAGAGGCCCGAAGCAGGCCCCAAGCGGCCCCCAGAGGCCCGAAGACACCGCCAGCACAGCCTCCGAGAGGCTTCCGAGGGAAGATCCCTCCGAGAGCTCTGGGACCGCGCCGGCCACCCAAGAGAACCCCATGAGCGACCCAAGAGGAGACCAGATGCTCGGCCGCACGCGCGCCGAGGCCATCGAGACAGTCGTGCGGTGGCCTCTCCTCCTGCCTCCCCATCTCGCTCCTCGCTCCTCGCCGCCCTCTCCTCGCTCCCTTGCATCTCTCTCTCTGTCTCTCTCTCTCTCTCTCTCCTCGCTCCCGTTGCTCCTCTCTTCTCACTCTCCCTCGATCCTCCCTCCTCTCTCCTGGCCCCACGCCTCTCTCTCTCTCTCTCTTCCTCCGCGGCGCCAGCACAGAGCGGGAAACCGAGCACCTCGCACCCGCCACGTGGCACCGAACGCAACTGAACGCACGCCTCTCATCACCCGCCCACATGCCTTCCCGAAAGTATGCCTCCATCTCCGTTGTCCGATCCTGCTCCCCAGAAGCCTTCGGACGCCTCATGCGACGAAGCGCCCCTGGACATGATTAACGAGTGGACGGCGAACACAGGTCTAAGCTTGGCTTTCGCCGCAGCTCCTCCTTCGCCGCAGAACCAAGCAACCCCACAGCAACGCCCGATACACCAAACCCGACGCACAGGATCGCAAGCCCCATGGCACGTCGCACCTCAAACAAACGTGCCGACATCTCCACAACATTCCACCGAGATCCGAGAACACATCCACGCACCCGCAGTGAACGCACAGCAAACATGCTTGCATGCTCGGCACCCTCACCCTCAAATTTTCCGCACCCCGCATCCAACGCAGTCCGCCGACCACCTGCCGAAGCGGTCGCCTAAATATTCTGGCCTTTTATTTGCTCCGCCCGCGCTCTACCCCTTCCGAGGCGCTGGCCGACATCCC